TTGTACATGTAGCGCCCAATTCACTGTACACCGTCGTTGTATGCTGCATCTCTTTCTGTTCCACAACTTCCGCAGGTCGACATGCACATTGTTCAGCGCACACTTAGCATCGCATATGAGGCATGTGCGTTTGTGTTTGAGTATGCCTAATACGCGCCTCGAGGCATGACAACACCCGGGAAACCACTCGACGCTTCTTCACTGCCCAGCCTTCCCCCCCCCCCCCCCTGCTTCGAACTCATGTTGTGAAACTGCACCCCTAGTCTGTGCACGTTTATTTTTTATGAGTCTTTAGGAGCCTTTAAGGATGAGTCTTTTAGGAAGTGCCATTTTGCATCTAAATTCTTCACTGTTACTCATTATCGGCCGTGATGGGCCAAAAAGAGCGCATGTTATGTCAAACTCAAAGCACTTAGCTTGAGGGAATCCAGTGGTGATAATCTGACCGGAGTTGCACAATTGGAAATATCTGAAGTTACACTGTTCGCAACTCGCTCACCTCGCCAGCATCGCTGCCTTCTAATTTTCGAGCTGACTTCAAGAGTTCTCCCGACTACCCTGCCACTCAGCCGCACACCCGCAGCGGTGTATGTTGGTTACTTTTGGCTTTTCGAGCACTTAGCAGCCAAGCAAAAACAATTTTTATTTGGTAGCTTTGCAGCAGGTTTCTCCACGAGTGAAGTTCTTAAATATACAGGAATGTATACGCGTTGGTGCTACAAAGGAAGAAAGTGTAGTCCTGTGGCAAAACGTTGACCGTGTGATATGGATTCAAAGATAATGAAAGTAAGTGTTCTTATCGTATCTTGAAGATACCGCAGTGGCACTGCCTAGCGCTACCATTAAACGCAACTGGTCCTGGGGTTTCATCGAGTATACTTTTGAAAGCAGCCCTGAAGTCGGGGCACTCCCATTAACAAGCGCCCGGGTGGCCGACTGAACACCCTTCGCTCGGGTGGGGGATCAATTTGGCCCCCTGAAATCTCAAAAACTAAGACAGTTATAGACTCCAAGCACACGGTAGATTTATTTGTATGTGCACTCACTTGTGTCAGAATTTGAGGCTCTTAGATCATGACCTTGGGAGTAAATAAGGTCAACAAGGTCAAACCCCAGATGTATGCCCAAACGCCCCAGAAATCCTAATACAACAGCCGTTAAGCTAGATGCCTGTCATAAGCAAGATGTCACTTAGGCTAGTGACCTCTTCCGACTTTGATAAGGCCAATTTGACCAAATTCCTGCAAGACCGCTTTCGTTTTGCCATTCGACTAAGTGCTAGAAATTACGCTAGGCGGTATATTTTTAAAAACAAAGTGCTGACCTGGGTCATTTCAGTTCAGTGATGTACACTGAGCTTTAAACAGCTCATTGAACATGTCTGCCGCGGTCTCTGCCAGTAATAAATCCGAAATAAACACCAGAAACCTCCCCATGAAACCTGGGCCTCGAGTAAAAACGCAGGTTAGTTTTGACTTCGTTCTGACCTTTATGTCTGACCATAGGTCAACGGGGTTTATTGTTGTTATAAATTGAATTGGTTCATTTCCCACAGAAACTATCCCAGATATGTATGGCTTCACGTAACACCCCTTGTTGCATGAAGTTGAACGATTTCTTAAAAATGCCTTTCGCTGATTACCATGGCCTGACTTGACCTGCGTTAAGTGAACGACGTTAAAAGTATGTCTGCGATTTTAACATCGAAAGATCCGCTATTCAATTCCCCGCGGTCATGCAACGTTTGGTGCGGCTTCGCTACGCAGTTCGAAAATCATTCTGGAAAAACCTTTGGGGGTGGCCAAATTGACCTTCACCCGAGACCGTGTTAAGTGTGAAATCTGAGTCCTTTCAAAAGGTACCCTCCGAAAATAATGTTTGCTTAGCTGTTATAAAAACTACCTCGCGTGGCGCGTGTTTCTGTTTTTATGTGCTGAAGTCAAATCTTGTTTTCTTTGCACACGGCGTATTTCAGAGCTGCAGCTTCCGTGATTTGAGAGATACAGGGCTATTTCGGAGCTCTTTTTTGCGCACTTCCTCGATTTGTTTTCGTTCTAACGCCGGTTTGGAAATGGAGAGTGCCGCCAGAAAACAGCAGCGTTCGGCCAGTAGATTCATGACACCGCAGAGGAAGACACGGACAATTTCCAGAAAGCTTTTAAAATCTAATCTTGAAAACACCTTTTTCGAGTTAAGTAATCGATAACACATATTTCACATCCGATATAACTCACATCTTATTTAAGAGAATCAGGATAAAGATGTTTAAATCATTACATACGCTCCAATCAAGTGAATTGCTTTTCTTCATCAATTTCAATCACGGACTTTCTTAACAGAATCGAAAAATCCAAGCATAAAACGACGCCAGATGCTAGCTACTACTGACAGCATTCTCTACCCAGCACATACGTGATGAAATTATGTACATTTTCCATACTTAAACAAACAAATGGTAATAAATCGCAGGTGATAAAATGTGCCAGCTTTGTACAAATAAAGACCACATTTTTCTCCATAGTGAAATAATTACATTTGGTAGTGGCTTCGGTTTGCGTAGATGAACTGATTCACATGCTTCGCGATGGGAGTTATCTTTCCCGTTTTCAAAATGTTCACAGCCAAGGGGTCCTCATTACGCTGAATGTCATGGTTTTGGTGGGCAGAAAGAAAATTATTACCAATCGTAGTCTCAGGAGGGTTTTTTCGTCCAGGACGTTCTCACTAAACTGTAGCCAAATTGATATATTTGATACACCGACATGCCATAAACTTCAGCACTACCCTCACATATCAGACACTCATCACAGTACACAACACCAAATGTCAGACACTTGCCTTTCAAAGCCGACATGCTTGCATTACAAATTTGCTTGCTGGGTGGACGTACAGATTGCGAGAAAGTCGATCTAAAGAATTGCATTGTGTTTCAAAATATTCTGGTCTTGTCACGGCTATGCGAACGTGCCAATTTACTTATTGACAACTAATGCTATCTTAATACGCAAAGCTCTGTCTAAATCAGATAACACAAGATCGCGGCCCAGGTCTTGATGTCGTTGGTGTAAATGGTGCCAGCGACCCACTCTGACCTTTAAAAAGTTCATGGGACATGTATGTTGCGGTCCCTGTCATTAACAAATTCAAAATGAGCACCAGAAGCTAACCCCTAAGCCAAGTTCTTCAATAAAAAACTTGTTAGTCGTGACCTGTGCCTGATCTTCACATTTGTTCATAGTTCAAAGGAGATGATTGAGCCGGGTCGCCCCGCGATTGGCTGGTGGCCGGCGCACGGCTCCACCCGGTCGTCCACGTGACGCGTGACGTCAGAGGTCGCGAGCCGCCCCTCGCCGGAGGCCATCGGCGCGTAGCGACCCATCTCCTGCGCTTGAGCCTTGGCCGACTTAAGAATACACGCCACCACCAACGCTGACCCCAGCGTCAGGCCTGTCTCACTCAGCAAACGGGTCTGCAACCTTGTGTCCCGAACGTGACACACAAGCCTGTCCTGCAGGTCCTCCTCTCCCACGTTTGCCAGAAACAAGCGGTGCTTAGACAGCTCGCACAGCCGGGCCGCAGAATCACTCACTGATTCGCCGTTTGCCCGAGAGCACGGATTGAACCGGAATCGTTCGGTTAGGACCGACTTCTCAGCCTCAAATGGTCAGATAGTATCTGCATCAATGCGCTGCACTCGAGCTCGGAGTGGTTCCGCGGCGACGCCAGGTCTTTCAGCAGTCTGAAGGTACTCGAACACATCACGCTGGTGAAAATCGCGCGACGCTTCACTGCTGTACCTGCCGGAACGTCACTGGCCAGAAAAAAACTGTTCCAGTCGCCACACAAACGACGTAAACGATTTTGATGACCAGTCAAACTCAAAGGCGCGGTTCCACGAACCCCCGTCATCACGTACGCGCACAGCCCGCCTCGCGCCATTGTCGTAGACGTACTTTCGGTACAGGCTGTATTCGGGGACATCAGCTGACCGGTCGCGGACCGCACCTCCGACACCGGCCAATGGCAGCGCGCCACGTCGCCAGCGGTGGTCTTCATACCACAGCCCGCCACACAAGCCAGGGTCAACACTTTCCAAAAATGATTGAGAGTTATAGAAGCAATTCGAAGGCTTAGATATACTTTCTTTCATATGATTCACAGTAGATTAAAAATTGGGGTCGCGGCCTTACCAAAAGAAGATACAGTGACAGCCTGCTTCAGGCGTTTCCATACATGTTTTGTGTTCATACGTTTCATACGTACTAAGTTTAATACGTGCATAGCACTACCGCGCCCTGGGTACGCAGGCAAACCATCGCCAAACCTGTAAATGTGCTGAAGTCTACGCCAGTTTGATTTTTTCAAAAGCGCATGTTCTTCATAGTTTGCAAGGTTCACCCCCGAGCGCGTGGATGCCAGTGATTGGCACAAATCTGTTGTTCGATGTCCAGCAACACAAAAGTGTGTTTGCGATATACTGACCGCTAGTACTAAATATGGAAATGGCATTGATATGTTATTGCCTCTCATGATTACTAGCTGTACGCTCTGTATTGCTCGGACAATCCTGACAGCCTGACACGCTCTGCAGTACGGTCAGGATGGTACTGCCTCGTCAAAGCCAGCGAGTGATATTATCGGAAATCCTCACTATCACGCGATTATATCAAAATTATCATTGCATAATAATCAAGCCATGACATGCTCCACAAAGCAGCACACATGATGTTCATCGCTGCTGCGTAATGATACTCTTCTACCTTTCGCCCTTCATTAATCCCGTGTTTTCATTGCACGCTGCTCCCGTGTTTTCGCTTCTCGTCGCTCCCGGGTTTTCGTTTGCATTGCTTCTGCATTTCCGCTTCTAGTTCCCGTCGCTTCATGCTTCGTCACTTGCACATCATAACTCCTCGTTTCATTATCCCTTTCATGACGTCTTCAAAGACTATACCAGGCTTCTGCGCAGCTATCCAGTGCGGAGCGCTCCGCTCTGGCCGCGGCTACTCTGCGATGACCCTGGCGGTCTGCTGCAGCGGCGTCACGCTCTCCGGCGTCTGGCGGCCATCGCCCAGACCTCGAATAACCAACACCAGCTTCTGCGCTACGATCGTCACGTCTGCGTCGCTCACGTCGGCGTGCAGCACCATGCGCACGTTTGAGGCGGACAGAGGGGACATGCGCACCACCACCTGCTCCCCCAGCGCCTGGAGCTCCTCAGGTGGCACCTGCCCGATAGCCGTCAGTTGGATCAGTCTCCGGCCTGTGAAGAACTTACACAACTACAGAAGGTATCCGGCTCCGGAAGGGGTTCCATGCATGCAGTAAATGAACTAAACGCCGTTAGCTTGCTACGGTTGTGTCCTTTGGTAGTCGACATTTTATGCGCTTGCTATGCAAAAGAATGAAGCCAGCACGATCACACCTTTCAACACGCCCAAAAAAATCGTTTTAATTAGCAGTGATGAGAACGAGCATCCTCTCTTCCTTTACAAGCACATCTACAATGCATTGCTGAATTCGAAAGTAGCAACCGGCGCATTTAAAACAGTTCATGTGGAAACAAATCTTCGAAATTGATCACCAAAAACGTATGACTGTTGACTGGCGTCTCGTATACACATTCCAGGCCGGCGCACGTCTCATGGTGTTTGAAGCGGACGCCGGCCGGCTGCGCGACCTAACCTCTCGCATTCTCTGGCAGAACTGGCGGGGCAGTATAACAGCCGGGTCCAGCTCCAGCAGCACGATGTTGCTGTGCAGGTTCTCCAGGTCCACGGAGGCGCCGGGCTGGCCACAGCTGTTGATCGCTGCGGGCACCGAGCAGACGGGGCGTAACTCGAAGAACCGGGCTGGCAACTGTGGACACCCGTCAGCTCCAGGAGAGTCCTCTTTGTATGGAAACTCACGTTGGCATTATGAAATCATAAGCGCTTAGCCAAGTCAAAAGATACAGTTGACGCATGTGGGCAGTGCGACGTTTCCGATTAGAAGCATGGCGAGAGCGATTCTCCCATGGCCTGACTACCACAAACGCGAGAAACTGTCTTGCGAGACGGATATCCCGACCGCTCACCAACTCTCCAATGTCCCCCCCCCCCGCCGTGGGGAATAAGCCCCAAGAGTAAGATACTTTGATGGGGATTCTCAGCCTGTTCCGGACCATTTTCCAATATCATTCTACGCGGGGTGTCCGGAGCGTTCGTCGCCTGAAAAAGACCACCCCAAGCAAATCTCGAATCTGATGGTTGGAAAAGCTTGAGGAGATCCTAAGTTTTCCCAAGCAAAGGCCGATGGCAGGCGATGGATAGGGAGGGGCCTAGGAAACCCCAATCATTTTGCCCATGCCGGTTGGGGAAATGAGAGGCATCCAAGCTTTCCCTGGTCCGCCCGACCTTTCCCCTAGGCTAATCGCTGGCTGGGTAAACAGTATGTTGGTGCACACCTTCCGCCTCAGAAGTAACGGCCCATCTTTCAGGCATCCGGATTTTGCCGACAGCGACAAAACACTCCCATTTCTTACGGCAATAGCATGAGAAGAATTGTAAATTTCGGTGGAGAAAATTCAAAGCAACATCAATGATTGGATGGCTGTCTTAACTGTCATTTAGCTGAATAAAATTAGGTACCTGTCGGGGCCATTGCATATCAGTGGTCAGACCAACGCCAGGAGCGTTGACTGCCGCCTGGTGACAGTTGATGGTCCGTGCCCTGCGCTGCCGGCTGCAGGTGCCCTCACCTTGGGCCAGCGTGCGGGCCCGTCGATGATCGTCCACCAGGCGGTCACACATGACTTCCACGCCCACCAGGCCAGCAGCGGCCAGCACACCCACCTGGTGCATGTCGCCGCCCAGAACCTTCCGGGTGCGGCGCGCCCTGCCCGGTCACGCACGCGTCAGCCATCAGGTCACATACAAGGTCAGAGTTTAAATTAAATGCTGAGAGGTTGATCATGCCGAACGTAGACGTTATCAATCGTTATGTCGTACATGACACCAGGGGTCAGACTCTCTGAAGATCAGCGGTCTGATCTCACATAAAATCGAGGGTACCGTTATCGATCAGGTCCAACACGAGGTCAGATCATGTAATATCAGAGACAAGACTCAAACGTGAGGCTTGTGATGAGATCGCACATGGAATCTAAGGTCAGCTCAAGTGGGGTCATCACTGGGGTCACACATGAGTTCATGGACCATACACAAGGTCAGCATGCAGGTCACAAATAATTACAGCAGTTAGATGACAGGCTTAGGGAGCGACCAGTTCACACACCGGGTCAAGGGTCAGGTCACACATGGGGTCGGCATTAAGGTCACGGCTGGGTCACACACCGGATCAGGGGTCAGGTCACATACGGTTAAGCATTGAGGGTCACCGCCAGGTCACACACCGGATCAGTGGTGGGTTAGGTCACGCCAGGATTATACACACAAGACAGATGCCGGGGTCTCCGACCCGGCATGTCTAGCAAGTGGAAGGTGGAACTTCCAGGCAAGTGGAAGGTGGCACTATCTCTGGCCGTTGAAATGTTACAGCGGGTTGTGCCAGGGGGATTTAGGATCGGACAAACTGACATAGCCATCTCCATTCTGTGAGGTCGAAGTGCAATAAAGTATCGAACACATGCAATATGGGGAATATGAATTTTGTGCTACAGTTTTGCGTTCCTCTCTACCAGGATACAACCACCGTTGATCTGTACATTAAACACTCGGCGTCATTGATTTCGAGTCCCGATCGAATTGGCCATTCCATTTCCGGAGAGGAGGCTTGATTTATGAGACGGCTTAAGTAATGAAAGTTAGATGACACATTTCCACCCAAAGTCAGCTCCGACCTCCCATCATCGAGCTCTCACTGTTTGATGAACTGCGCTGAGCCGACGATCAGCGCGCCCGCCGGGGCCGACAGCGCCTTGCTCAGGCACAGCGTGCTGGATGCAAATCCGCGGAGGATTCGCGACATTGGCACACCTGGCGGCAAAGATGGCAACTAATATCAGGTCATGTTATAGATGGCGCTTCGGCCCATCTATCCAGAAGCTGCTAGTGGAGATGCACGATCAAACTGAACTTTTTCAGATATGCATTGCCACATTAACAGGGGGACGTGGTCCCTACATCATCACAGAAAGCTTTTCGTGTAGCTCCATTCCCTGGTTAAGCATGGAACAGACCGATTTTAAATGTGGGCTTGATTTCGTACTTTTCGAGCATTCTTTTAATTTTCCTTCCTTCGGCCCTACCTCTGTCTAAGCATGGATATTTCAAGACGCGCATGGAGCGATATTTGCTGCAGCGTTGTCGTACCGTACGATACAGATACACCACAGACCATCGGGGACGTTAATATACGTTCGGAGGTCAATTTGCTCCTGTTCCTTAAAGACAGAGGGCTGCTGAAATTAGGTTTAGGGCTGATCCATTGATCTTGAATTAGGTGCGAAGACCAGGTCAAAGTCAAACCAAACTTTTTCTCAGCAAAATGCTTGCTTTATCAGGTGGTCTTTGACGTTCATTTCGAGCCTCTGGATAACAACATCGAAAAGTGTATAATTCTGACGTAATAAATGTCAGGGAGGTCACTGATCTTAAAACATTTTGATCGACCTTTTGCTGTGGGAAGTATGCCACCTAGCATAGTAAATGGCGTCGATCATATCTTACGATGTAAAACAAAAACTCCGAAGGTTTTTGGTTATTTCTGCGCTTAAGAGGTCGAAGGGATCATAATTAACGTAAAAGACGCCTGTGGATTTCGAAATTAGACGGTTGACTTAGACCCCCAACTACCCGATAATTTGTTTGCCTCCAACTCACTTAGTTTTTGAAATCTCAGGGGTAAAATTGCACACTACCTCCACATCCAAGCGCGGTGCAACCAACCACTCATCCTAGCGTGTGTTAATATTGCGTCTTTGAGACGCAAAATACCATACTGAAATTATCACCCGAGGCCAGCATTGCATGCCATACTACAGAGCACAATATGTAGTATTGTGTGCATGACGATGTCCTCACCGAGCGCCACGGCAGCATTGGGCAGTCTGGCCCCGTCCATGTGCAGAGGTACTCCCAGTTCGCGGGAGAGTTCCGCGGCCTGCAGCAGACGTCACACACTGACTTTACGGCGGTCAGTCATCAACGGAAGCGAACACACCAGACAGCAATCAGTGACTGCACTACGGCGGTCAGTCAATAACGGAAAACAACAACACACCAGACTGTAATCAGTCACTACACTACGGCGGCAGTCATCAACGGACAACAACACAGTCGCTACAGCGTCGGACAGGCACCTGGCACAACTGTCCGTCGTCGCCAGGCAAGGTGCACGGATTGTCGCCGGTGAGCCATTGCTCTAACAAGCGTCACATTGCCACTCTAACGACCGTCAGTGTAGCGGACGACAAGCGATGCCAAATGAAGGTCAGCACTGACTGACAGATCGACGCAAATGTAGCAAGATAGTAGTCATCACCTTACGAGGCCACAAGTCAACGGAACTTCCTGCACGAGACCGCCGCAAGTACCAAAGTTTGTCACCAGGCCATATGAGAGGCGCGCAGCATCAGAGCCGTCGTCAGTGTCGGCTCCCGAGGCACGTCGACATGGTGGCATCCCTCGCGACACCACATCAGTAGAGGCCGCGTCCCTGGGCCGTGCCACATATCCAGCCAACTGCCCTGCACTGCAACAACCTGCCGCGCACATGCCACGGACCTGATCCAGGTAGTCCAGCGGCAGCGCCTTGCCGCCGCAGCAGTTGTGCGTGTTCTCCAGGCAGATGAGCTTCGTGACCGGGTAGTGGACGTTCTCAGAGCGCACCATGGCGCGCAGCAGATCCAGGTCAATGGTGCCGTCTGGCTTGTTCGGCGCCACGCGCGCGTGCACGCCTGTAGCGGCAAGGAAACTCGTTCAAGACCGGGGGAGATCGCGTTCTCTTCGAGTGCTTTTTTGTATCACATCTGATATTTAGTGCACAAAATAACGCACGAAGA